TAATTGTAGTATATAAAATTAATAATATTATATATATAAAATAATAATTGTACATTTGAAAAGAACAATTTTTTATTGTAATTAATTCCGAGAGATAAATTTAAATATAAAAAATAAATGAAAAATACAATCTGATTTCTATAACAGCAAAAATTCACTGTTAAGACTTTCACAAGTATTTAATGATTCTTCAACAATTTTTTTTCATACAGTTCAAGATAATAGAAAAATATTAAAACTCATGCATTAAAATTCAATAATTCAAGTTGTTGACAGAAGGTACAAAATTGACGAAAGATAAATATCACGAGGGCAAATTTTCCGAATATCTCGGCCTAGATGTCGACACTCGTATCTCCAAGCCCGCTGCGTCAATAAGCACCGAGCACGTCGCGTGCAGGTGCATCTCGAATTACAGACTTTTATACTATATATACAAAAGTTTGTGGATACAGTGGATGAGACACGCGTTTAGTCGGTGTCCGTTGGTGTCCGTGTACTGTAGAGGTTATGTTCCCTCGTCCCGTGTGTATATTTTGAATTAGTAATTAAAACTGGGCACATATTATGAAAGTGTTCGGAATGGATTCCGATCGGAGTTATTCCGTTTTCCCTAGAAAGACAGAGATTTAGAGGGAACTGAATAATTCCCGTCGGAATCCTTTCCAAATAATCCCATAATATACGTAGGTAGAGCACGCACTGTACTCGATTTCTTGAGCGCGTGTTTCTCGTATCACGCGAGAGAACGCAACGATCGTTGTCCGTCGAGCCACGACGGGAGTGACGTAGCACGATTTAAAACGAGTCATGTGCAAATTTAAAGCATGGTTATCACACAACGGAAGATGAAGCAGATTGCGATCTTTGCAATTTGCGCACTGCTGGGTGAGTCTTCTCGATAGGTTATGAGAGCCAAGAAGGAGCACTATCGGAGATTCTCGAACAAGCTCAGAATGTTTTGACTCTTTTGCGTCGCGAGCTACTTAATTTATTTATTATGACTGATACGCCACGCGGTCGGACAATAAATTCAGCGATTGCGCGATTTCGTTTGATCTCATTTGCTTCTGCTTTTAGTTTCACGAATTCATCAAGCGATTCTTCGAATTCTTCAAATTCCTTTTCTTCTTGTTCCTTCCACATTATTATCATTTATTCATAACATTATTCAGAGTATCGTTTTTCTCATTTATATCACATGATATGTTTACATAACGATAATTTTATGATTCCATCTGCACCATCTACTATCGTTAAAATTTAAAATACTAGAAATCAACGATGCTGCATTATAATAACAAAATATTTTAATGAGTATGCCGTGTGTTTATCTCTCATGCGTAAAACTCGACATTAATTCCGAAAAATAAAATATACAATTGAAAATTTTCTGATAGTGATAACAGATCGTTGCAAGAATGACTTTCCGTTAAATAAAATGAGGGACGAACATGTCGATTTAATTTTTCGACATTTTCTATATAAATTTAATTAAGCCTGTAAAGGCTATTTTATGATTCGAATTATTGTCATAGTTAATTATTACCGGTAATTATACGTCGCGATCTTCGTATTATTGAGATCGTATGATCATAATTTTATCGAGTTCTAATCAAGTTCTAATTTCAATCAAAATCGTTATGAAGAAAACGGAATGCTTATTTTTTTCCTTTCAAAAATAATTCCGCATGCAAAAATAATTTTTCCACTCCAAAAATGTGCATGTAAGTACAGTTTTTGTAGGTAGGAATTTATTAAAAATAGAAGACAAAAAAGAAATAAGCCAAATAATAAAAATAAAATTTTATTTTATTTTTTCTTAATAATTATTCTTAGAACTAGAAAAAAAAATTAGTTAATCTATATATGTTCATTTCTATTTTTATTAAAATTATTTTCCTCTATCTTATTCATTTCCATCAATACAGATTAATTTTAATCTCTTATATTCATTTCTGCCAATGTAGATTATAACTCGATTTAACTTGTTTATCTTTTCTAAGAATTAGAAAAAGATAGAGAATAGCAAACAGACCAAAATTATCTTCCTCTATTGTTTATTTTTAACCAATATAGATCAACTGTGTGATGGTAGATTTAGCTCACATTTCGATAGCACACATTCACTTACATCGGCCTAGAAACTTTCCAATATACCAATCAAAAAATTTTATGTTAAATTGGCCAATTAACGATGTGAGAGCAATTGTATTTCTCTTAGCTTTAATCTCGGTTTAATTTATCTTTATCTTTTTCTAGTTCTAAGAATTCGTATCTAACGATTCTTTTCTCATATCCTTTTTTCAATCGATTTCTATATACAAATATAATTATATATGCACACTTCTGGAGCGGCAAAATTATTTTTGCATGCTTCTGTAAATAACGATCGGAAAGCTTTCTCTGAGCGCGATATATGCAACGTATAATTTATGTAATTTATGTATTTATGTAATATTTTTTCGCGTCGAGTACCACCGAATGCCGAATGAGAATTGGAGAATAAGACAATTATAGAGCAGGCAAATTTTTTTAGCATTAACCGCTGTGGTTACTCGAGATATATAGATACTGTTATTAGTAATGAGATACGTTATATAAAAAAGTTAAATATTGTGAGAAGCAAAAAATTTCAGTCTGAAAAATCTTGCATAAATTTACAATTAATTACGATTATCAATGTAATTTGTAATTGTAATAATGACCACGGAAACTCATATAGACATTTTACTTGTATTTGATTTATTTTTGGAGTCACAAAACTTTTTATTTTTATATCAATCTAATTATTATATTGTTAAAAATTAATGCATAAAAAACAGATCTAATTTCGGATTAATAATGTCGGTTTTTATCATTTGTATCAGTCTTAGGTTTTTATAAAACTCTGGTGACTACGGAAGAGGAACGATCTTTCAACCGCGGTCGACACCGCGCCGTGCTCGTAAATAAAGCTAATTTAGATAAAAACGAGTTCGAAATTGCAACGCAAAAGATTCGCAATGTCGAGGACGACGGAGACATCAGGGACATCGAAGAGGCGAAAATTCGGATCCGCGACCTGGAAGGTAAACTTCAGCATCTGGAGGCAGCAATTAAGAACGGAGTGGCGAAGGACTTCCCAACGGTGAAGTTCCTAAATTATAAGAATCGGAAACGAATCCTGGTGACGGGCGGTGCGGGTTTTGTTGGTTCCCATCTGGTGGATCGTCTGATGCTCGCCGGGCACGAGGTAATAGTCGTCGACAATTTCTTCACTGGCAGAAAGCGGAACGTGGAGCACTGGGTCGGTCACGAGAACTTCGAGCTGGTTCATCACGATATCGTAAGGCCATTGTATCTAGAAGTAGATGAAATCTATCATCTCGCTAGCCCGGCCAGTCCACCGCACTATATGCTGAATCCAGTGAAAACGATCAAGACAAATACCTTAGGCACTATAAATATGCTTGGTGAGTTAACGGAGCCGAATTTGAAAATTGAAGATATGAATTGAAGATATTCATTGTTATTAATTTATTGAGAACATTTTAGGACTCGCAAAACGAGTCGGTGCACGAGTATTAATTGCGAGCACGTCGGAAGTATATGGGGATCCTAACGAACATCCGCAAGCAGAAACTTACTGGGGTCACGTTAATCCCATCGGTAAGATTTTGTGTGATGTAAATATAATTTTTTCTTTTTCTTTAACTCTAATGATGGGTATACTTGAAATATAGGTCCGCGGGCATGCTATGACGAAGGAAAACGAGTTGCCGAGACATTGAGCTATGCTTACATGAGACATGAAGGCGTCTCGGTCCGAGTTGCACGAATTTTCAACACCTTTGGTCCGAGAATGCATATGAATGATGGTCGTGTCGTGTCGAATTTTATCATCCAGGCTTTACAAAATGAATCAATCACGATATACGGCAGTGGAAAACAGACACGATCATTTCAATACGTTTCCGATCTGGTAGATGGACTGGTAGCATTAATGGCATCTAATTATACACTTCCTGTAAATATTGGAAATCCTGAGGAGCAAACTATTGAAAGTAAGAATTATTCCAATCATGCTACATTTTTCCCAACATTTGTTTGTAATATTTATTGAAGTTTAACATTCTAATTTATCGTAGAATTTGCGCGTATAATAAAGAGTTTGGTGGGTGCTACCAGTGAAATAGTCGAACTTGCGGCGGTTGAGGATGACCCGCAGAGAAGAAGACCGGACATCAGTAGAGCTAAAAAATATTTAAACTGGGAGCCTAAAGTTCCTTTGGCTGAAGGTTTGAAGAAAACTATAGTGTATTTCGCAAAGGAATTACAAAGGACAAAGCACTCTCAAAAAAACAGTTTTAAACAATCTTCATACAAAAATGATCACGATATTGTAGAACAACTTTAGAAATTCAAGTGTAATGTGATACGATTAATGTATCCACTTTCAGAAGTGGCGTGAAAGTGCCATTAAGGTATGGACCAGTATGTGCCAAAAAATCCCCGTCCAAAATTTAAATTTTGCATAATTCGTATAATCAATCAATACATATACATACACACACACATACACTATACAATCATTTAAATAAATAGACTTGAATTTCTTCCAGTCAGGTATATTATGTTCTTTGTAGCAATAGTTTAAAATATATTTTTATTCCTTTTTCCATGACTCCATAGTTCTCTTTCTTTTTATTATTTTTAATTCTAAATATATATTTTAAAATACACTTGTAATACACACACACACATATAT